AAACTACTTGTCTGTTTACAGTTTTGACAGATATGGAGAAACACTAGATTTAATCTCGTGTCATGTTTTCTAACATCTGACTAATCAATTAATCACTTTCCTTTGACCTCTGGTCCTAATTCCTGAAGGAAAGATCCTTGTGCTGCCAAAGAACAGTTTGCTGCTATGTTCACCTGCTCATCGCTTGGGCCTAGGATGGTAGCCTTCAAATGGTTTATTGGTTTCTTTAATTTTCTGGAAACCATTTCTGCCTTTTGCAGAGACCAAGATACTAAAGTTGTTGCCCGTAAAACCAAAACAGCTGAAACACCCTAAGATTTTCTGTAGAGCTCAGGCCCACTGTATAGTTGTGTGGTCTCCACTGCAAGCAACCCTTTTCACATTTGCTGCACATTTGCTATTGTTATAGAAAATATTGATTAGTGCCCCCCTAAATATAGGTTTTCATGTTTTCTTTTTCACACTTTCATGACAGAAGGTAGTTGTCTGAGTGACAATGGTCTGTCTGCCTCTTTAAAAGTGATCTAAGCTAAAAGGGTCAAAACCTTCCAGCAATATGGAAAACAACTGACACAACATTTTGACATTTTGACATCCTCAGGATTGAAAGATTAAAGTGTTGAGGCTTCACTTTATCCACAGCCGTAGGCACTTTATACTGGCTGCTTCATTTACATATTAATTGATAGATGTTAAAGGAATCCAGAGCCATTTATCTCAAAAGAGGTGTGCCATTTTGATGAGCAAGACCCTTATACTTTTGAACGTTTCCTCGCAATGTTTAATAATGTGGAGTTCCATCCAGTCAGCAGAGTTTTGGATTCTTCAGTCACTCAAAGTCAAATTGTTTTTCAGATAACACACGGCAATGGGTCGTATGTTTTAAACAGAGGCAACATGTTCTGACCCTCATAACAAACCCTTTTCTCGTAAGTCTCCAAGAGGTCAGTGACCTTTTACCTTTTGAACAGGGTCTCTGTGTGGACAGGTTAAGGTGCGAGGGGGCTTCCAGCAATGCGCTCGCAGAGGCCTGGTGTTCTTAACTTTATCAGAAAGCTCCAGCAGCAGAAAAGAGCATAGCCCTCCCCAGTCGACACGTCCTTCTTCCTTCACAGCATCGATGTCCAGGAGGAGGCCACGGTGCTCCTGAGTGACAACCACACTGTCGAACAGGAGGCCATATTCCTCCTTGGACCCACGGCCGACTGTTGACCAAGCCAGGTTGATGAATTCGGTTCTGGACAAGGAGCGAGATACACCTGAGGAGTCCTGCATCAAGATCAACAGGATTATGAGACATTGAACAATGTCAGCACACAGGTACACACTGCTTCTATGGCATGAATAAAATAAAAGATGTAAACCAGTTTACACATCATTAAAACCATCCATCCATCCATTATCTATACACCGCTTAATCCTCACTAGGGTCGCGGGGGGGCTGGAGCCTATCCCAGCTGACTTAGAGCGAAGGCAGGGGACACCCTGGACAGGTTGCCAGTCTATCACAGGGCCACACTTAGAGACAGACAACCAAGCACACTCACATTCACACCTACGGACAATTTAGAATCACCAATTAACCTCAACATGTTTGAGTGTTCCGGAGAACCCGGAGAGAACCCACGCTACACAGGGAGAACACGCAGAAAGATTCCGGTGCCCCCACCGGGACGCGAACCGGCAACCTTCTTGCTGCGAGGCAACAGTGCTAACCAACTGCGCCACTCTGCAGCCCTCATTAAACCACTGATGGGAAAAGTGAACAACATTGATGTAACCCATTCATGGCAACAACACTCCCTAACAGCATTGGCCTCCTTCAGCAAGACAATGAGACCTGCAACACCTCAAAAACTGCTTAGGGACTGCTCGAGGAACATGACAAAGAGCCTGAGGTGTTGACTCGGCCTCCAAACTCCCCAAATCCCAATCTGACTGAGTAATGCACCGAAACCCTGCAAACCACAGAAATCGAAGGATCTTCTGCCAGTGTCTTGTCTCAGACACCACAGGGGACCTACACAGTATTAGTCAGGTGGTTTTAATGCTGCTGATGATCAGCATCTTCTTTAAATGTTTCACAAGTAAATTAAAAAGTGCCTTAACATGAGACTTAATAAACTAACAAAAAAAAAATCAAAGACTCACACAGAAAAGGCTCTGCAACTTTCCGTAGTCCTCGGTGTTCATCCTGCTTTCAAGCTGGCCCACTTCCATCCTCGTTCCCATGGTTACAGCTCAGACCTGTCGGTCAATCACCGACATACCAGGCGAGGTCAGAGAGGTAAAGTGTGTGTATATGCGGGTTTGTGCAGAAGACTCAGTCAAATAATAGATTGCCCGCATTTCTAGGTGATACATGGCGAAACAAGATGTTCCCTGCTCGAGTAATCCCTTAGAAACCCTCTATATCTATTTCACAGTGGGTTCTCATGTCATCATAATCATAAAGCAGGGTCACAGCAGCAGACTTTTTTTTTTCTTTGTTGGCTCCTTTCACTCTATCCAAACATGTCTGTGTTGAATAGTGTGCAAAGGTCTTTCATTTTCAACAAAAATTCCCCCCAATCTCGATAGCTTTCCAAGGTGGTTGAATAGGTCCCCAAATTATGTCTCAAAAATGGTCGGAGACGGTGGTGGGTTGCCAAAGCATGTCAAATCTGGGCTATGTCAGCTAGTGTGACATAAAATGAAGTCAGACAGATATCGACCGTAATTAATTGTATGAAGAAAAGGTAGGATTTGTTAAATTAGCCTGTGGTTGGAATGAAAAGCACATTTCAGGTTTGAGAGAGAAATGTGAGATGATGAGGTCTCTTTTTCATATTCTACAAAACACTACAAAGGGCAGAAGAGGACAGCAAACACTCTGAATTTCATTTTTAGCTTGACATGAACGTTTATGTGACAAATTCATTGGATGTGGCATCAAACTGAACTCAGATTTAGATGACAGGGTGTGTAATGAAAGCAAAAATCGATGCTTTGCTGCGGCTATTATCTTCTTTTTATAACTGTGATTAAGTGCAGTGTGATCTTGATATGACGGTTGAGCCACCTTTTTAAAATTTCTGACAAGTAGTAGACTGCAACAGATGTGTTTATGCTTCTGTAATTAAAAAAAAAAAAAGGATGACGCTACTCTGGGGACAGTTTGTTCATGTTTGGTTTACGAGCATGATAACTTTTAATCAACCACATCCTTCCTTGTTTTGTAGCGAGCTGCTGGCGTCAGTTCTGTATGGGACTACACAGGCACAGCTCCAGAAAGTTTGAACAAGAAAGCAGCTCATATTTTGAATCATATTTTCCAGTTGACAGACGTAAAACTTCTTCTCAGTGTTCAACTCCTGTCAGTCTTTTATAAATAAATAAATAAATAAATAAACACAGGGTTGCCTCTCTTCTTTCTAGATGACCACTTCAGGTCCAGTCAATTCTCTCTAAACTGTCACTGCAGTGTTTCTGTCTGGGATTTATTAGAGCCTCAGTCAAACTGTCCAAAAAGACATCTGAGCTCCAGGCTGTAACTGCATAATGACAGGCTCTCGGTCTGGAAGTGTACACACACACACTTCAATCAAGCGGCTTTTTAATCATTAAAGTCCAAATAGTAGAGCTGAACACAGCTTCTCACTTAATAACAAATTCAAACTCACCAAGTCGGCCAATTTTATCCTCTCAGTCCACAATGGGTGTCCACAGCAAACCGTCTCAGAGTCCCCCTCCTCTGAGGTGTTGAAACACCATTTTTAAATGTATGACATTTCAAACAGGTCCTCACCCTCTGGTTGGTCTGTCTTGGGCCCTGGCTGGGTCTCGTCCGTGGGAGATTCGGCCGATTCCAGCTCGAGCTTTGTGTCGACGTTTGTCTAAGCCAGTCTGAGAGGCAATCAGCGTTAACAGTCCTGGCTGCAGCACATCACACCCACTGAGAGTTAACTAACTGCCCCCAGTAGCCCAGACAGTAGCAGAGGCCACACACACACTCACACACACAATCCTTTTCTTTTACTATCCTTCACTCTTAAAGACTCGGGCTAAGTTTCCTGGCAACCACGTAGTCAAAAAGAGTTGTGTTTGTGAGTCCAGGCCCTATTGTCTGTATGTACCATGATGTGTGTGTGTGTGTGTGTGTGTGTGTGTTACTTCTATTCACAGATAAGAACATAATCTGTGTGAGTTACAATAACTCCTCCTACACAACTTGCACATAGCAAGAGCAACACAATTCACAAGAACATTAGTATTCTACTGCCACTCATAAAGGTGTTCATGCATTAAAACAAACAAAAAAAGAACACTGATGTGAACCTGAACACAGACAAAATACACGCTATGAGAGCTTTACAGCGCCAATCAAATGCCTCAGAGAGGATATGCTGTGGGTCACTGCTGGCTGTACACAGACACACACAACAAAAGGGAACAAAAGTCTCTAAGGGATTTGTAAAAGTCAAACAAACAGATAGCCAGCATGACTGCAAGCATGAATGCACACACAAAAACTATACGTCCAACATAGATATTATCGTGGCCCTTCCTCCCTACTGCTTCAGTGACCATGACCAATCCCTGTGTGTGACTTAATGGTCTGGAATAACTTGAATTAGCTGATTACGGCGCTCGTCAACAGTGACAGGATCGGAAAATTAGGTCTCAGCAATTTCAATAATAAAGCACAATTGGATTACAGTGGTGCATGTAGGAGCCAGTACAGAGCCCAAAATAGCCCACCACAAATCCACCATGGAAAATCCACTATTATACAGGGAGAAGAATGAAGTTGCTGGAATGGGGAAAATTGGTACGGATCTTAGTGCTGGGAGGAAAGAGGTGCAGTCGAAGAAAAGAGAATGCAAGGGCAACTGAGCGGAAATGAAGCACTTTCATACAACAATGCGGATGTGAAGAGAGAGACCCACTTTTGAAAATCTTTCTCACATGTCAGAAGTCTTTAATTTTCAAAAAAAAAAAAAAAAACAGTTCTCAAGGAATTTCAGGTCCCATCGTTTTATTTACATTTGGTTGAAAATGTCATGGGGAAATATTACAATCGAAGCATGACAAAGACAAACAGAAGGCAGAAAAAGAAATGATACATTCATAATCAGATCCATTTGTGTGAACAAAGTAAAAGTGAGACAATTTCAATTTTGCTGCCTTAAATTCGTGGAAATCTGTGGCTTTGCTGTCAACATAGGAAATCCAACGGCTGACAAAAAAATAAAAACGAAAGCATTTTAAGACATATTTTCTTTTAGTATATATCCTGTATATGCAGCAGTGCTTCTTAACCACTGACTCATCCCAGATAGACATTACTTTCAAGAAAAGGTTAGAAACCACTGACATACAGTATAAACCACTACATACACTCATCCCAAATCATTTTTGTATCAGCTCGTAAACTTAAGATTTTACTTCTTTCATTACCCACTGCCATAAAGAGTCATGTTCTTTTATATAGCTGAGGGTCTAACGTTAGGACTTGGCATAAATCTCTGTAACTGAAGTCAGAAGAAAGACAGCGGAGCCGGTGAGTTATTGCTCCTCTGACCGGCAGTTATGATGCACCCAGGTGAAGCAGTACAGGATGAAGACAGCAGTCTCCATTTCTGTTTCCTAAAAGTTTTTTTTTTTCAGACTTTGATTTTGTGACACAAATTGAACACATCAGATTTTGGTAGGCAGCGATGTATTCTGATAGCACAAAATATTTTAATAATCAGGTTAAAAATGTCTTCAGTTGCAACTTTCAAATGTGACACTTTGAAGACTTTTTTTTGGTTTTTGACTGTTGATCAGACAAAACCAGATATTTGAGGTTGACACCTTCGTCTCTGAGGAGTTGTGTTTGATGTTTTTCAAAATGTTGAACATTCAACAAACAATTAAAGGAAAAATATTTGGCAGATTCATCAATGATGAAAAGAACTGTTAGTCGCAGTCCCGGTGGCAGAATCTTACTAACTGCCACAATTATAACTTTTTTGAACAACTGCAAAACTTCCAAGGACCTGGGAAATAACCACATTTTCCCTATAGCTTTTTAAGACCTACACGGACCTGAAAAGAAACAGAACTATATAAAAGAACAAAGAAATATCGACTTAAATATCTGATAAAAGAACAACATAAAAGGGAGTTAAAAATCCCTGGCAATTACTGTCAACCTGAATTGCTTTGAAATTTAGACTACCTGATCTCCCCTCAAAGCCACAGAATGATAAATTATACAGCCCAAAATAATAAAACGTCCTTACAAATTAGAAAGTCTCATTAACTATTCTCTAATCAAAACGCGCGTGTGTGTATGAGTGTGTGTGTGTGTGTGTGTGTGTGTGTCTTCTCAGGCTGCTACACCACAGTCTTGAAGGCCTGCAGTATCATGTTGGTTTGGTGGGTGAGCTGGTTGGCGCTGACAAACACGTTTATCACTCTGGAAACAACCGTGACAGAAACACAAGGACACACGTGTCAATCATACGGCAAAGGAACCATGGCAACAATATTAGGATTGATCCAGGAAACACTTTGATCTGGCTGGAATGGAGAATGTCAAGCTTCAGAGAATACAAGTCAGCGTGAATCCACAGGAAATGGGTCAAGGGAATTATTCAGCAATGGTGGATTTGATGGAAGTGGGCCTATGATCAAACAACCACCATTTACATGCTGGTGACAGTGTGTGTGTGTGTGTGTGTGTGTGTGTGTGTGTGTGTGTGTGTGTGTGTGTGTGTGCGCATGCACGCAAATGCTGGCATGTGAGTGTATGACTGTAAAATGTGGTTGTAGCTGTGTGTGCATGTGAAGGAGAAAATGTTGAATAATAAAGGTTGGGTGAGAAAACAGAAAAGGAAATTAAAAACTGGCTAAAACAGAGAATAAACTCAAAACAGTGTCATACTTTCCATCTTTGAAGTAGGTTTTGAGAGTGTCGCTGAAGCTCTTGGAGTATTTCACAAACTCTTTCTTCTGCTGTTCCAGTGCCTAACCAATAAATACAGACAGCCTTTCAGCTCCACTTATTTCACAGCAACTGTGTTTGTGTGTAGGCATTTTTTTCCCCCCATCCTAATGTATCTACTTACCCGTCTGTTCCGATACTGGTATTTCCTGAAGATAGTATTAACTGTGTCTAGCAGCTCCTTGATGGCGCTGGCAATGTCTCTGTGGATGACACGCACAAGTGAGTGTACGTTAAAGAAAAAAAAAAAACAATATCTCAAAATCTGTCTGTTTTTATCAGGCAGTGATACCCTGAAACTACAGTCCTTTGATCGTGCTCCTTGTCTCCCTTTCTTCCCCTGTTCTCACAAACAGGCTTTCACCTTCAACTTTTTCTCCCCTCGTATGCACTTGAAATCTGCCGTTTCATAACTTTAATTTCTTAGCATTCCCTTTGAATTGATTTTATTTCTAAGCCCTCCGCTGGGTAAGTAACTTAAGCAGTGACTCACTAAGAGTATTGAATTCGATCAAAATAATGGCAAAGTGGGCCAAGAAGATGAAACATCTCTCACTTCTTCCTATAGTGTGTGTGTGTGTGTGTGTGTGTGTGTGTATGTGTGTGTGCAGTGCAGTGGACAGGGATATGAAAAGGCATACAGGGATCTTACTCCTTCCTCTGTTCCACATATATTTAACATTCCAAGAAATGCTGTGGAAACATATGAATGTCAGCATCTGTATATGTTTGTGTTGCATGTTTTATTGACTTGATTTCTAAACTTGGGTCACGACACCTTAAAGAGTGCAAAAATAATGATAAAGAAGATTATGAGATGTGGTTGAACGGGAATTTACAGTGACAACTTTTGCTCTTTTGTGTGTCCTGACGTTGAAAGAGGCAGACTCGCATGTGGTTCTATTCATTCTACAACATAGGTACACATCGATCTGCAACACAGACGGTCACACCGCCCCTCATGCTGAACACCATACAAACCCCACATAGGGCTCCTGTGGATGTTTCTGAAAGGCTGAAAGGATACTGCAGCTAGCTACAGACTGGCATGTCGCACCGTGGTAGTGATTATCCCTGAGGTGTGCTTTGCAAACAACTTTACCTATGGTCACCATTGGTGAAAGACATGGACAAAAGTCCAGCAGCAACTGCTTCAAATACGACTTTCTTTTTTCTTTATAATTAATTTCTTTTCGGGGCTTTTTGCCTTCATTAGCAGGACAGTGGAGAGAGAGACAGGAAAGGGAGAGAAGATTGGGGAAAGACTATCAGCAAATGGCCGTGGGCTGGGGAGTCGAACCCACAACCGCTGCATCAGGGACTATAAACCCTGTAGATGGGTCGTCATCTTATCCGGTTGAGCTACCGGGGCGCCTAATGACAACTTTGTTAGTGAGGAATTATGAAAGGTATGGATAACAGAGAATCTCCTTGCAGTCTTTTCTCAAAAATAAGCATATGTTTTGAGCCACGTTTATTTTCCTGGAACACGTGTAGTCAGTGTGGTTGCAAATTTTGGAGAGGTGTCCGCACAGGTCACTGGCGGACACAAAAATCATGAACTGACTTTAAGAGAGAATAGAGAAGCTCCTGGTTTGTTTTCTGGCTGGTACGAGCAGCATAGTAACTACTAGCAGTTTATCTTCAGGCCAAAGCAACAAATAACCTTAAGAAATCCCAAACTGAAGAACTAACCCAGAGCTCAGTGCCATAAAAGCTGAGTAAAGCACCCAGTTTTATGAATAAGAAGAACAGTTTTGTTACTAACTAATCTAGTAGAAATAATGCCAACTGAATGTCAGTCTTTAAACCCACTTAAGTCCCAGAACTCTCCCCATCGAGTAAAAGCCTGTCCAAGGTTTACTTGTGTTTTACCTCAGTTTCTATCAGCCCCTTTTTGCCTCCTTTGTCTTCTCAGACAACAGGGCTTTTTCCTTAGCCAAGAAGAGTTTCCACGGTTGTTCAGGTTGTTCTATGTGGAACAAGTCCAGCTTTAATTTTCCTGGGAGATCTGGGACCCAGTGGCAGATAGAATTGCATCGTTAAACCGAGGCTTATAGATCACCAGTCTAAACTCTAATGGTGTCATTATTCTATAGCCATTACATTGTGCCTGTGTCCAGATTGTCTATTGTTGCCCAGTGTTGTCTATTGCCACTTTATGTTTGCATTATTTTGCAACACATACTGCCCCTTTGCTACAAATGAACTCCCATTTTTAGGACTTCTTACCTGATTTGACTCTAAAGTGTAACTTTCAATTTGTTTTCAGATAAATTCAATGGAATGGCTGGGGAAAAAAACATTCAAAAATCCATGGAATGTCAAACACCCTCTTGATGTATACAATTTAAAATTCATTCGAGCACAATTATTAACAGCAGTGAGTCTTTCTTTGACTGTTTTTCTCTCAACTCGTGTCTGTCTATTGACTTTGCATTTAATTTCACCTCATCCGAAATTCACCTCACAAAGAATCCTTTATTAATTACTAAGTTTTATTTGTTTGTTTGTTGTGCTTTTTTAAATGCAATAATGGTCTTGATCAATAAGACACACACTGTAACAAAGCTTTAGTGTTTGCACCAAACAAGAAAAAAAAGAAAAAAAAGATTTGAATCAGCTAATGATTAAAGTAATGATTGGTTAAAGTCCTCGAGGCACTTTCTGGCAGTGTATTCAACTAATGCAAGAAGTTTGATTGAAACTTTTATGCAGAGTTTAACCTGACTAACACACTCGCATCCACACACAGAGCTGTCTTACTTACTTGATGGTCTGTAGCAAGCCTACTCTGTCATTGATCTCATCTGGTACGGTGCTGAGGATGTGTTTCAGAGCTCGGGCCCTCTCGTTCAGCTCCTGGAACTCTGGCTCTCGCCTGTCAATCATGAAATCTGAAAACACAGAGAGGAAGAGATGAATACAGACCTCAAACTCCTCAATGATGACAACGTCAACACACTCGCAAATAGCTACAGGGGACACTAAAAGCTGCAGTTATTATTAGTGTAACGTGTAAAAACACATCCACAGTGTAAATGTTTAAAAAAGAACACAGGGTCAAGTATATACGTTGCTAAATGTGTGTTTATACACACATATTGACAGTACTGAGTTTGTTAAGTAAAGGCAGGATTCAGGTAGAACTTGGGGTACGCTGTGCAGGAGGTGCATTTAAAATTCATCCAAAGTGTGTGTATGAGTGTGTGAATTCATTACTACCATCAATCACTGTACTCAGCACAAGGAATTCAATTACAGACAGAAACGAGGGAACATCTGAGAACAGGAATAGGAGTTGATTTGTGGGGAAACACCTCCCCCAAGTGGATAATCAGGCCAATGTAACATGAGCTGGAGCATCAGAAAACCAGTGGAACGAGGTTGGTAATCATCCAGTGTACTCAGTGTCTTAAAGCAGCCTGTCGCACCTCTGAGCGTCAGCATGTAAAAAAAACTCCTCAAGAAGTAGCACAACATGATTTGGATACTGTTGTAGTTTAATGTCACCTCCAGTAAATCTAAGACTGTTACTATCACACTATGACATATTATATTCAACAATCTTTCTTACTTTGCCTGTACCATTATTAAGCATCCTACCTTTCACATCATCTGCAGCCATGCGAAGTAGAGACTCACAATAGTTGATTTTTAAGTTCTTCTTCTCCAGTATTTTCATAACAATGTCCTGTGTCAGACCCGGATTCTCCTTCTCCGCCTTGAGACACACAAACATGCAGCTTCTCTGAATGCTCGCAGCCTTGGTGCTCTTGTGACAGTTACAGATCACTGAGCAGCTTGTCCACATGATTTAAAACTAAAAGTACAAGCAGAGGTATTGCAAGGAAGATGAAATGTAAACAAACTAACACAAATAACTTTACCTTTTTAAAGGCTGCTCTCAAGGTCTGTGCTGCTGACAGATTGACTTTCTCCAGCTGAAAGTTTTAACACAGAGACACACAAACATAAGCCAGGAGCACAAACACACACATACACACAGCTTAGCCGTTATCGTGGCCTTTCGTCTGGCCTGAAATGTAATTCTGCAAAAAGTACACAGAAGCCAAGGATCCCACCATATCAAAGAGGGACACTGAGGTATTGTATTGTGAGAAGCTGTGTTGAGGCCATAGCTCTGTAATCTTCTTGTAAACTTCAGGGGAGCTGAAGTCTACTCAGTTCCTCTGAGCTGATAGTTTGGTATTAGACAGGTGATTATGAGTTTAACTTGAGATTTCGGAATGTCAGTTTGTACACCACGAAATGTTATATCTTTAAAATACCGTCTTCCGTCATTGATTAAACTTCTAAAAACTCATCTCTGTGTATCAAAGGTACATATTTAGAGGGCTTTTTTCCCCATGACATTAATCCCTTCCTGCCTTAAAAATGGCTTAGATGTAACTCTACATTGTTGCTTCCTTGAGAATGTGCAGATCTATGAATTCTTTGCCTCTATCTCCACCCTCGTGGCCCACCACTCACTGCAGCCTGAGCACACCAGCTTATTTATGTTTGTGCTCAAACACAGTAAAACCACTCCGCAGTACACAATGGAAAGTGGTTATATTGGAGTAATTCAGCCTTATATGATTCTGTAGAAAAAAAATAAAATAAATGGACACAGAAAGTCCCACCCTGCAAGTTGACAGGTTTGGCTCCTTTAGTTTGTTACATATGAAACCACAGAAGTCTGAATCCATGTTTTTGAGACTGTCATCAGTACACTACAGTTTCAAAGTAAAAAAGCTCTGCCATAGTGTTGACCGCTTATTTCGCTCATAGTGTGTCTTCTAGCATACGAGTCATTCCGTACCAATTCACCCAGATTTCAGAACTTTTCCCAATTCATGTCATGTGTTTTTTAAAAAAAATAAAAAACGACATGCAAAATCTTCTACCTAAACCATGGAATCTTGCAAAATCCTACAGATTAAATCCAAATACTCTTTGAAATATGAATTTCTGAAAAAAAGGTCCTCTGTACTAAATGTTATAACTTCAGCGATCCTTTACAGTATCTTTTAAGCCTCACAATGGCTTCTTTTTCTCCACAGGATTTGACCGATTTTTGTTTTTTGCTTGTTTTACTGGGTATCCAAAAAACATCAAGAAAAAGTTGTAATCACATCAATAGCTTATGCTGTTGTTTTTTTTTTTGTTTTAACAGAAATTTAAATAATGAAAATCTGTAATTTATCATCAAAAGAATCTTTAATTTTCAACAATTAATATCTCCATTAATATTCATTTAATTCCAACCAAATTTTGGCTGTTGGTAGAAACAACTTAGTTTTGTCATATCAAAATATCATTTTGTGCTGCATCAAAAACTGACTGCCAGAGGTCTTCCTAAAATTTGTTTCAGAGTTGGAAAATCCACTATTTAGGACATCTTAGCAATATTTTTTTCAGGAAGGATTGCTTTAAATTCTTTGAAACTTTGAAGGGTATGTCTTCATATCCATTGAAAGCATAGTAAGAAAGCATAGTAACAATGAAAGATGCTATATTATTCATTCATTATAACAATTTTATGAAAATGACATGTTTTTTGTAGTGTTCAGTGCCTTTAAATATCACATTTGGTGGCTTTAATTATCAAGGAGATATTTGTATCATGTTGATTTCAAGGTTTTATATGTCTGTATGGTACCTGTTGAGCCATTTTGTCACTAGTTCAGGAAATAAACAATTAATGTTCGGCTTGTAGTGGTTTTAGTCATTGTGTAATAGATGATTACTGCAGAATGTATTGGGACTATACTATGGCCGTTGGATGGGTTGGGTTCCCCTTCTGGAACTGATCCTCCAACTACAAGAAATGGAGGACAATACGACTGACCCAAAATGATAAAGAAAAACATGATCAGCACAAAAACTGAACTTAACAAAACTTTAAAAAGTTTCAAGGTAATCAAAACAGTCCTTCCTGAAAAAAAATACTGTTAAAATGTTCTAAAAAGTGGATTTTCCAGCTCTGAGGGCAATTTTAGGAACACCTGTGGCAGTCAATTTTTGGTTGGAATTGGGTGAATATTAGTGGAGATAATATTTTTTTTTAAGAACAGGATAGGATAGTTACTTTATTGATCCTTTTACAGGAAATTACTTGTTACAGCAGCTACATTAAAAGAAAAACACAGCCAATCCCACAAGACACCCAACATTGAAGGCACACATAAAATATAAAACAAAATATACAATATCAAATAAACATAAAAATAAGATAAATAAATAGGTATCAAGTGTGCAAAATTAGACTGTGCAAAAGATGCATTTTAGAAACGTATGTACATAAAGTGTCAAATGTACATAAAGTGTCATAGTTATGCAGCCATGTGGTTTTATTGCACATTATACAGTCTGATGAAATTAAATGAAAGGTCTTTCATTCTGATGATAAATTATAGAGTTTCATTATTTTTATTTCTGTAAAAATAAATAAATAAATAAATCTGCATAAGCTATAGACATGATTACAAGTTCCAACTGTTTTTTTCCTGTGAAAAAAAGCAATTGGTGAGGCTTTACAGATACCCTAAAAGAATCACTGAAGTTATCAAATTTAACACAAAGGGCCTATTTTCAAAAATTCATAACTCAAGAAGTGAGTTTGGAGTGGGATTTTGCAAGGTTTCATGTTTCAGGTAGAAGTTTTTGCAAGATTTTTTTTCTCCCTAAAAATCCATGACCTCAACTGGGGGGCCCATAAAAAACAAAACAAAAAACATGTGGACATGCTAACAAGTTTAAAAATGGGACTTTCAATAGAGAAGCCCTTACTATAAAAAGTTAGAAAACTAATAACAGGTGTAGCAAACAGATCTGGTATGTGATGAAATGAGGCTTCAGACCATTGATTTGCCACATAACACCTGCATAGATACAGATTTAAAATTTTTGTTTGTTTACAATGTTTGGATGAGTACCACAGAATGTGAATAAAAGACCTATTCTGCTAAAATGCATGTGTAAGACATAAAATAATACTAATAAAAATACAAGAAACCCACTCCATGTACAAAATACTCCTCACCTGCAAACACACAATAATCTACTACACCATAAACCTTTGAACTTTATACTAAAACCCATTCACGCTTAACCTCCACCAGCATGAAACCGCTTCTACTTGAACAGAATATTTACTGAAAGTCTCAGCTACATTTCCTTGTCATGCAACTGACTTTGACCTTGTTTATTCAGCTTTTTGTTGTAATTGCTTTTTAAATGTATTTATTTATTTACTTTAACTTTACCTGGTTAAAGACGGGATACATCACAGAGTAGAGAGCCATAGAGACTACTGAGGCATTGTCGGCTTCATTCCTCGTGTCTTCCATGGTCATCCTTGACCAATCAATGGCCCTTTGTGCGTGTGCTTGTTCACTGATGCCAGTTTCACCACATTCAATCACTCATGACGCCTGACAGAATGGGAGCAGACAAGAACCTGAGGAAGAGCAGAGCAAGACAGGTGAACAATCAGGGAGTGATAGATGGTAGTGGTTGTGTAGGGGACTTAAAAAAAAAAAAAAAAACATGTACGAAGAAATTGCACCTTGTATAAATCAACCATTGAGATATTAAAATGTTCTTCTGTTTAAAAACAGAGGACAGAAAACCTTGTTAGTCGAAGAATTGTTTCATTTTTATGGCGCTTCCTTCAGAGCACCGGTTCGTTTAATTTTCTACCAATTACATGTTATCAAACCCCTTGTGTACTACTTCCAAGAAAGCCTTTCAGTCACAGACATGATCATCACATAACAGCCACATTGCCGAAGAGTGTGTACTTTACTGTTCCACTGGGTGCAGTGGTGGCAAAACCGGCATGAGTCATACCTGAAAAAGGAACACCCTCTCCAATAAAAATATCACTGTGATAAATATAGAACCTTGACGTACATGTTTTGGTTTTTTTGCTACCTCAATGTTGTCATAAAAACACAGTGAATCCTGCTGGGTAAAATTAGAAAAAATAGATCCTGCATATCCTCTTTTATTGGTGTGTGTTTGGTCGCTTTTTATACATCAGCGCACACACCTGTATCTGACACCGCCTTGACCAGTTCTTCCTCAGCCATTGTTTATTGCGTTACAGCTCTACAGGGCCTGGTATGGCATCATTCTTCATTCTGCTCATCACACAACAGGTCATTTACCGGAGGGCAGGGACACTCATTTACATACCAGCTCTGTTCATGTGTGCGTCTTCTTAAGATTACAGCTTCCTCTGATAAGGCGATGACTTTATACTCCTTTTCAATCACAACTGAGAAAGCACTAAAGTTTATTACAGGTCTTATTTTGCCCTTTGATTCCCACTAGTAGATTAACATTAAGATTTTAAAAGGGCTCATTGTGGCAAAGTTTCTGGCTGACGAGGGCTACAACAGGAGGAAATGATCAACGTCTTCAACAGCTACCATTTGAAGACAGGCAACAAAAAAAAATCAAAAATAAAAACACAAGATTCAAAAACACAATTTAGAATTGTGACAAAAACATACTTTAATCCAGCTGAATTATACGAAATTTGCTTCACAACAGCAAGTTGTGGAGGCTGTTTTCTTTTGGGAATAGTGTTCTCTCCCTCTTTCTCCATGACAAATATGATGAAAAATACATATAGACTCATGGTGTTTTCTTGTATCCTAATTCAAAGATGCTACATGTCAAATTCCTAGAATTTCTGTTCAGTTTAACAGGTTCCAACGAGGGCTTCTTGGCCAAACAATGAAATAAATTTACATCCATAAAGTAAATTATCAGCTGACATTCCCAGTGCAGACAAACCAAACTATCACCCTTGGTCGGGTTTTGAATGTAATAAGTGTAGAAAGTCATTTAGTGCAATCCTTGTCAACTACTAGAAGCCAAACAGTGGATCGGTTGGCTGATTATGCAGCCGATACTGGCCTGTCACAGATATATCGACCAACACTGGACAACAAAAACGGTCTTTTACAGATCATAACATAGAAAAAATGCCTGGGGTAATTTAGAAATGGTGTCATCACAAAGTTTGTCCAGCAGCTCCTACTTCATTGCTGATGTTATTCAGCAGTGTGGCACTAACTAGTTTGTGAAATACATTGATGGTAAAAAATAAAATAAAACTGAAAAAATGTCCCCCAGTGGTATCAATGCAGATATATCAATATCAGAAGTTCGTCCCCAAAAATCCCGTATTGGCTCCAATCAAAACAGATGAATTCTGTGAGGGTAAAGTCGAAACAGGTTTGGTTTAACAATTAATCAAAATAATATCGTAATCGTATCGTATTTCAATATTGCTGAGTACAATATCCAAATTGCAGAAGCTATAATTTGTTGATAGAAATGAAAAGTGTCGCAAGATACCATTATAAATGAAACACTGTGGTGCAACAGAGATGCCCCAGTCAACAAATCCCTTTGTCCAGTCATAATGGAAGATGCTTGTCACGTCATCATATTAATAATTTTCAGTGTGAAATACATTTTTAAAAGTTGCGACTCCTATTGCAATATATGTAAAAAAAAATAACACTTACTGATTCTTTGCATATCAGTTAGAGTTGTGTCAGCTTTAAACGATCAGTTTGGGTAAAATGAATATTCAGGAAATTATTGTGGAATGTTCTGCTAATAAAAGGCGTCTCCCATAGGTAGAATAAAGTGTAAAAGACTGGAAAACTGGGTGAGTAACAGTTGTGTATGTGTCTAGCAATGCATCTGTCTATAAATAGCAAATCTTTTCCAGGTGACAAATGCAAGTGCAACAAATATTCTTAATGCTTATGTAACTGAATGGCACACCTAAATGGAATAGAACTGTGCTATGACACATGTCTGCCAAGACACAGGTCTTCTAGACTACACTTATGAGTCATTTGCGTGGACTATAGCAATTCCTCCTGAACCAAGCAGACTGTTGAAGTTGAAAAAACACAGAGCAGTCTTGACTGCAAACGGGGCACAGTCACAACCACAGTTTTGCATGTCTGATCCACTAACATGTAGCTGACTTGGAAAGCCACAAGACACTTTGACAGTGGCCCTTCCGTCTACACGAAGCACATGACAGTAAACAGGTAACTTGCTGATATATTCACAGATCGAACGTCATTGCTTTGCTGATTTTGAACCAAACTATCTCGCTTCCTTCTGAGATGGTATGATCCACACTGTGGCAGCTACTGAGGTCATAGAGGTACATTTCAAAATGGTACCCTTAATAAACACACCACTCACCAAGCTTTGTGGTAGTTAGCAGGCAACTGACAGTGATGAGAGGTGATGCACACACCAAAACAAGTCGGTAACTACACAAAATATCACGTCGAGAGCGCTGACGGTTAAAACAACACCTTACCTGCCGTGAGACAGCTGCAAACGAGGAGAAGAAAGGCGGTGCAACGATGGCAAGAAGGTGGATAAAAGGAGAACAATAAGTTACCTCTGTAGGTAACGTGCTAACATGAGATTAGCAGCTTAGAGCAGGTGAGCGACTCAATTCTTAGCCAAACTGCTAGCTTCACCGCTAGCTAATTTTCAGGTGACAAAACAGCGGCGAAGTAAAGATAAAACAACACACAGACAGATGCTGCCGTTGTTTGCTCTCTTGTTGTGGTTTATGTCTCATTCAGGAAGTTTTCAGCCTGACAAAACTGTAGCCGAGAGCCGGGGAGGGCGGTGTTGAGAGTTTCACGACGAGAGGCTGATTGTAGTTCTTTCGGTGAATCTCCGCAATGTTTTTAAATGGCAAAGTCTGCCGGAGAAGACTACAAATCCCAAAAAGGTACAAGTAACGTGTTTTTTTTAACCCGTTCGACGCTTCCTTTATATCAGAGAGACGAGTACGAGCATTTTAGCTTTGTTCCACTTTAATAAATAACACAAAGTAAACCTGTTTTGACCTGTTTAAATGTGTTACAGTTAAAATAACAACAAATAATAAGGCATTTATCAGAAACACCATATTAACTGTTGCCATGTAGGTCAAGATAATTCGCTACCAAGCCCAGCTACTGTCACTTACGGAATATAACCTGAAGCTCAGTCGCATTTAGTAGTAAGTGGTATAGTATTTCTACAAAAAAAAAAAAAAAAACTATGCGGACCATTATAGCAGGTCAGTTATAATGCTGACATGTATAGAAGCTGAGGTTACAGGCTATCTCATGTCTTCTATTCATGAATAAGGTTATTGAATAAAAATATTTTTCAACCAAACCAATAAGTTTTTGCATTTTAGAAACATCTTTGACAGCTTTCAGTCCGGTTTCCGCTTAGATCATCGCACTGAAACTGTTCTCATTGAGATTTAAAATGACATTTGCATTAATAATTAGTCAAGGACTCTAACAAGCCTGGTGCTATTCGATTTTAGTGCAGCATTTGACTGTGGTTAATAAATTACACCTAGATGGAATTTAAAATTGGCTCGGGCTAGCAGGAACGGTCCTCAGGTGGCTCAGATCATATTTAAAACACAGGATATCAGGTGAGTGTTGGTAATTATTAATCTGAAAAAAATCCAGTCATGCAAGGATCTGTTCTTGGGCCCCTCTTATTTAATCTGTATGCGCCCTTTTTGCAAATTTTCCGAAACTTCAGGGTTTCTTATCATAGCCATGCAGATGACACTCAGATCTATCAACAGCTCCCACTGAATGACTATGATTATATAGACTTGCTTTATCCTAAGGAAGTAAATGGTTGGGTGCAATAAAAACAAGACTAAAAAAATTCTGCGCCACAATAAAAAAGGATGAGCTTATCGTAAGTCCGTATCAAGAATCTTGGTTTAATCATTGATGCAGATCTAAATTCAGTTGCCGCAGTAAAGCTGTAACTTTATTCTTTGGCCTCGTAAAAACATTGCCAAGCTGAAATTTAGAGGTTTAGAAATATGTATTCATGCTTTTATTACTTGTAGAGTGGACCACTGTAACACTACCTAACTAGACCATTCGACATTGCAGAACTTGCCGAATTTGCAGAATTAGAATTAGAATTTGTACCTCACTTAAAATGCTGCTGCTAGAAAGCTGACAAACACCAAGAAGAGAGAACACATACTGCCATTTTGAGATTCTTGCACTGGCTTCATGTGAAATATTGAACTGAATTTAAGACCCCAGTTATTGTATATACATCTTTGGATAGCCAGACCTCCAATATATTATAGATATGTTTGCTGAGTACAGGCCGAGAACGTGTCTGAGATCTGCAGAGATTGGTCTGTTAATAGTGTCCAGAGTTCAGACCAGATAAGGTGTAACAGCATTTAGTCATTATGCTGTTTAACCTGTTGCTGTTGTTTAAATGCACAAAATGTGTGAGTTAAAAAAAACAGGAAATTCCTTAAATGTGTAGATATACTGGGCCAGTAAAGCAGATTCTGTTTCTCTTTATCAGCGTTTTTAAAAAATAAGCTGAAGACCACGTTTTCCCCACCACTTTTATTCATCAGTTTTATTTCGTAAAGTCTGTTTTAAACTGCCCTTACTTTCATTAATTGTGTTTGCATTCACTTAATTTTATTCTTTTTTTTAAATTTAAAAATGTCCATATTTTTTGTTGTCTTTAGGCTTTTATATATTCAATTTTAATTATTCTAGAAAAAATTGTTTTAACTTTATTCAGCTTTTTTTGTTTGGCTGTGGTGCTTTATTTAATTGAATGAATAAATTTAACTCTGCTGTATTGCCTTTGCCTATAAAGCTCTATAAATATAAACTTGCTTTGAATAAAATCTACTAATAAACGACACACACACACAAAAAAAATCGTGATTAAACTCGACGTTAACAGTCACGTCATCAAATAGGGAAGCGACAGGGAGATACTTATTTCATTGTAGGTCTTTACTCTTTGGTCGACGTTCATTGGACCAATGGGCGCTGAGGGGGCGGGGCCTGCTGCAGATGAACAGGCAGTGAGCTGCGGAGGAGAGCAGCAGAGAGAGACCCGCACTTATCCATCCATCCATCCATCCGCACCGTGCGCCCTGTATCGGTAAGAGCCGTTTTCTGCAATAACCTACAGCAGCCGGTTCAGTCACAACGCCTGTGCTGATCTATTGTTTAAGAAAAATGTGACAGGATCACAGATCTCAAGTGTTTTTTTCAGATGAGGAAGAATATTCTGAGTTTTTTTCTCTTCATAGAATTACTTTTTATTAAGGTGTAGGAATGCGTTAGGCATAATAAGGGCATTTAATGGAATAGTGTAGAGGGATTATGATGCCGTAATCAACATGTGTGGGCTTTTAATCCGGGGGGCGGGTGGAGACGCACGTTGGAGCCAAACATATTTCTTCAAGCCCATTGATTAAACCGTGTGTTCACCACCCAAAGGCTATTTATTTATTTTTTCTCGGTGGGCTACGATGGCAGTGCTTTTTTTTTTTTTTTTTTTTGTCTTGTTGTTGTTGAAGTCATTCTTGCTGTGTGGTTCATGTCCTTGAAATACAGGCAAAGGCGCATTGAGTGAATGTGTGTGAATTAACGAGGCAGATTGTAGTAGCCTGGTCTTACCTTATCCCCACCCCACACACACACACACCACTTGTTATTCCTTCATGCAGGTCTGTCTATGTATTGATGGTGGTTGAGGTGAAAATTCATGCTGTATCAGAGCCCCTAGATTCAGGTTTTGTCATCCATTCAAAGCCAAGTGATCCTGTATTAATGTGTCAATTTAAATTGCAGCTCAGGTTATATCTGTGTGAGAATAAAAGAATTAAAATGGAAGAAAACTGGTGAAATATTCCACTGAAATATAAAACCCATCCAGTCTCCTAAAGGTTCTGTTGAATATGAATCTCTCCAAGTATATTTTTCAAATCAAATCACTTTTCATGTGATTTTCTTTTACCAAAATGAGGTCAGCACTAAACATTTCCCACATCTCATCCTCTCAATCCACCTGCCATGTGTTTTATAAGACAGTGACCTTTTTAAATCCTCATTTAGGCCCATAGTTGCACTTCCACATTCAGGAAAAACAGCCGCTGTTTAGGTCATAATCTCAATGTATTAATCCCATATGTATCTGAATCACTAGTTAATCTCTGCTGATAGCCTGCTGTTTACTCCCTTTGCCTGCCTGTGAGTGCTTTGCATGTGTGCGTCCTGCCTTTTTGCATTTCAATAATTAAATGTCTCTCAAATCATCCTCACAAAGCAAAACGAGCAAAGACGGGACAAGCAACTGCACACCGAGCATGAGCTGTGATTGCATGTGTGCTGCTGCTAACCTTCCAGATCTGTGTGTGTGTGTGTGTCTGTGTTTGTCTGTGTATGTGCATGTGTGTGTGTGTGTGTGTGTGTGTGTGTGTGTGTGTGCGTGTAGGACTGTTGATGTGTTTCTGTCAACTGCATATTCTGCCGGTTGAGAATAAGGTGGGAATTCTCGGAATAAGTGCTGCAGTTGTGTATCCTCGATACTGTGCATTTTCTCAGGCTAAGACGAAGCCTGTTACACGCTGCAGTATGAACTGGGAGGGCAAAAAAATGTGAAGTTTAATCTGTTTTTGTTCTGAAATATATATATATATATATGCTTTGGTTATTGAATGTAGTAAAAATGCAGCAGCAGGAAAAGCTGACAGCATTCAGCATGAAAAACTGCTTGTTCATCTTCCAGAAATGATTCTCCTACACATGAAAAGCATATTGAAAAAGATGGTGACTGCTTACTTTAAGCCTTAAATACACAATGTGTAATTTAAAACTGTTTTTTCCACTGCCTGCTTCACCTCTTTTTTCTCCTTCACATTTTAAATTAACTCCCATATTGAATCACACCACCTGCACATACACAGTCCAGCAGCAGGTTTGTCCCCAGTACACTGTGCTGCCGCAAAGACACAGGGGATTAGTTTATACTTGGCTAGATAGGAGGATGAGCGAGCAGAGAAAATTCAGAGAGAAAGAGGTCAGGTTACAGAGAGGGAACAAGGAAATCAGAAGAATGGAAACGTCTTTTTGAATTAGGTGGGGGAACTGTCAGTATTTGAGAACGAAAATCATATTTGTTGTTGGATAAATACACAAAATGACAAAAAGAATCATGTGAAACATCACCCAACACACTGATATACATTCATACATAATATTTTTAAACAGTGCATGTTTGTTTGTAAGTGGCGGATAGTACATGTTTCTGCTAAACTGTACCCAAGATATTTAAAATTTAGTGCACACACACACATACGTTTTCCCAGGAATCGATCAGTGGATTGATTGGTGACTTTGAGGGGTGGGCTGACTCTAGAGCGGAGACGATGAGCAGGAGAGAGAGAGGCTGATAAAATGGTGGAAGTGATTTGGTAATAGAGTCCATATGCAAAACGCACGCACTCTTTCATTTCCAGCTGCTGAGTCTGAAAAGCAAATCTATATTTTCTGTTAAAACAGGAACTCTGTAGGAAGCTCAGCGTGCAGCCGTCATGAATATACATGTGCTTTTCCTGCTATGACTATGTTCCTCCGTGCTTGAACACCAAATCGATCATCCACTTGCCCGTCAGTCTGTGTGCAGTTATTACACCTGTCTGCCGGCTAACCCTCCACTTGGTGACACATGCAAAAACAGTTGAATGTGAGTGACTCAGATGCCCCCCCCCCCCCCACATTATCACCTCCCACCGTCTGTCTCCTCTCTCCATCTCGGCCTC